TGTGTGTGTGTGTGTGTGTGTGTGTGTGTGTGTGTGTGTGTGTGTGTCTCTCTTGTGTTGTTATCTGAGGACAAACTCTTGATTTTTTGTTCTTCTTCAGGATTTCATCAACTTCATACCCGACTATCCGCACACAGAGTTCACTCAGGAATGCAAGGTACATTATATCTTCTCTTTATTATAAGCTATATACAAATACATAAAAAAATACATACAAATGTATTTCCTCATTTCTTAATGTTGATTTAAGTTTTCATATAATAATTAAGAATAAATCAGGAGTTTAAAAGTAACGATGATAAAGAATATGAATATAAAACGTCTTGTTTTCTTTTGATAAACTGTTTGTTTGTTTGTTTGTTTGTTTTTGTGTGTGTGTGTGTGTGTGTGTGTGTGTGTGTATGTGTATGTGTGTGTGTGTGTGTGTTTGTGTCCTGCAGATGAAGAACGCGAGTGTTTTAGGATTCTGTTGGACGAGCTGGAACGAGATCGTCTTCATCACCGACCAGGGAATAGAGTTCTACCAGGTAACCCGTGTTTACTGAGACACCGGTAGAACGTAGAACGTTCTCTTTGTTCTTCTGAAATACAGATTTTAAGATTTGATGGACATGTTCATTTCTTTTTTTGTGACATTTCAAAAATGTTGCTTAAAATTAGCTTGACAATCGAAAGGAAACACAACTTGTGACTGTCAAAATAAAAGGCAAAAAATATTATAAAAAAAAAATATATATATATATATATATACCTTTTTTAATTTACAAAACCTTTCCCCTCATTAAGCAGAATAAATCCAGGTAATTTAAATATTAAATATTGTTTAAATAAATGCAGACATATTAGATTTAATAAAAATAATATTAAATAAAGACTTAAACTATGAAGAAGATGATTTAAATAAGAAACTATCTGATCAATAAAGAGATATTATTAATAATAATATTAATACTAACAGTGTAGTTCTGTGGGGGTGTCCGGTGTCTCTTTGTTCCTCTCAGGTGTTTCCAGACAGGCGCAGCCTGAAGCAGCTGAAGAGTCAGAGCATCAGTGTGAACTGGTACCAGTTCTGTCCTGAGACGTGCGTCCTGCTGCTGTCCACCACGGTGCAGGGCAACGTGCTGCAGCCCTTCTTCTTCAAGGTGAGGAGGAGGAGAGGAGAGGAGAGGAGGGGAGGGGAGATGAGGGGAGAGGAGGGGAGAGGAGAGGAG